GAAGAAGAAGAAGAAGAAGAAGAAGAAGAAGAAGAAGAAGAAGAAGAAGAAGAAGAAGAAGAAGAAGAAGAAGAAGAAGCATATGTGTGAAGAGTACGTTCTAGGAAGTCTTCCCCTGGAAGCATGTCTGCTGTTCCCCAAGGTGACTAAGGGTCCATTGAAACACAACAGGAAAAAAACCAGCAAATCTCTCCCTGTTCTTGCTCTGTGACGGCCCTCTCAGGAAGAATTATGAGGCTGAGGGTGAGGACATTCTGTTTACTTGACATCACAGTCCTCCCTGGGAACTTGACTGCTGGCACCTGGCCTCAACTGCCAGCCTCAAAGTTGACCAACACGAATATGCCCTGAGCACTGATGGTCAATTTGTGACCCTAAGAGTGAATATGACTTTGCCCAGGGTTCCAACCACTCAAACAGCAGCTTATGACTCTGGACCCTTTTAAGACATTTTGCATTTCCCATCCTTGTTTGAAACAGAAATGAAGTCCTACTCTTTGTTAACCTGGAGATATTCTCTCCATGGCCTGGGTGTTCTCTACTTAGCCCTACCACCACACCCTTGCCTCTAATCCTCAGATACCCTCCCCTAGAACTCTCTAGAGTAGAAAGACAGGTGGATAACACACACCTGGTCTCCTCCACCTCAGCTCAAAATAGCCATTCCCTTCATGAAATTTTCTACACACCAACCATATCCCTATCTCTCCCCAACTCATTTGGCCACAACTCCACCCACATGGTACATGGCAGGCCAAAGCCCAACCCCATATTAGTGCAGAGCTCCAGTGCCATTAAAAACAAGAGAAAACAGTCTTTGAAGAAATGCAGTATTTATTGGGAGCTTTCCACTTAACAAGTTGAGTGTGGTGGCGGGGGGCGGGTTTAGGGAAAATATGGTCTAGTGTAGTTGTATAATCAGATAGCCTTGGCCAGCCCAACTCGATTGTTGGCCCTGTCAAAGACACTGTAGAACTCCCGAATGAAAACATCCCCCAGGATCCATATGTGGGAACCAAGCTTGAAGCCACTGGAGCAGGAGTCCAGTTCCTGGAAAAGTCAACAACTAAGATGTAGTTGGATTCAATGACAAGAGTTTTTCTACCCCATCACTCAATTACTCTCTATTGTCTCATTTCATCCTTGAAAACGCCTTCCCAGGTAAGCAAAGGGGATGTGATTCATCATTCTCAACAGGTGAAGACAGTAGGGACTGAAGAGACGGACGGCTCAGCACTTAGCAGCACCTGCTTCTTGCAAAGAACCAGAGTTCCCAGCACCTGCACTGGAAGGCTCAAAAATGCCTGTAAGTCCAGCTCCAGGGGGATCTTATGCCCTCTTCTGGCCACTAAAGGCAACTGCAATCACATGCGCATATGCCCACCCACACCCCAACACACACACACATTAAAATAATTAAAAATAAAAATAATGGACTCAGGAGGGTTCAGGAATAAAAAGCAACATTTGTTGCTTTTCCAGAGGACCCAGTTTCCATTTCCAGCATGCAAACAGTGGGTCACAACCATTGGTGACTCCAGTTCCAAGGGATCTGATACCCAATTCTGATCCCCATGGACACTAGGCTGGCATGTACTCCATACATATGTTCAGGAAAAATACTCAGACACACAAAAGAAAATAAAAAGTAATTTTTTTGTTTTGTCTCTTAAGACAGGGTTCTGGCTGTCCAGGAACATAGAGCAGGGTGGCCTCAAACTCACAGAGATCCTCTTGCCTCTGCCTCCCAAGTGCTGGGATTGAAGGTGAAAAAAAAATCTTTAAAAAAATAAATTGACTTAATCTGAGGTTATCTGGCGAGGTCCTATGGCTCTGAGTCCTGACCCCCATGAACCGTGCCCCATATCTAACATCTTACCATCACACTGAATATCCATTGCCCTAATCATCATTAGTTTGGGGTACTCAGGATCAAGCCATGTTGAGACTAGCAGTCCCCACAACAGCCAAAATGAGCTATGAAAACCCTGGATAGAATTCTAAGCCACCAGGGCTTGGAAGCTTGAACAGTGGATGGAGGTCTCTATGGGTGGTTTGGGTCCAATCTATACCCCTCCTCCAAGCCCTTGGTGGCCTTCCTGTTTCCCTTTTCTTTCAGCAAGAAGCAATAGTGGCCACACAAATAGGCTCAATGATAAATGCCATGGCCCATTCAAAAGGCCTTGTACTCTTTTCGGGTCCATGCCACTCATCCTCATCAACTTCACTGACTTCCCCAAAGTCCCAGAGGAAGGGATGCTAGGTGGACCCAGAGCATCACTCTCCTGAAGCTCTTACTTGGTTGGTATAGGCCGAGGGTGGCAGTGGGAACTTCCTGCCATGGATCTCAAAGACAATTGTGGGCATGATGCCCAACCTCCAGCAGTTGATTTTAAACTAAGTGAAGAGCAAGAGATGTCATTATTGAAAGAGGCAATGATGGTGTAGAACTCCATTCTCCACAGTGTGTGGCTCTCCTCAGAAGGAAACACAGACACTCTCCAGATGAATCTGGGTCTCAAAACATGGTCCCCTTTGAGGGATCTGCTTTCAGCAACACAGGGACAGACCCCAGCATGGGACAAAAAGAAGCTTGCCTCCATGTCTTCCTTCCAGGTCTAGCCAGAGTGCACCAGGATCTCAGGAAAAGCAGGGGGGACAGGGGGTTTGACTGTTAGCAGGGATGAGCAGAGTGGAACAAGAGGGTACAACAAAGGTCACAAAAGGCATTGCCTCTCCAAGGACCAGGAACTGAGAAAGTATGGCACTCCCACAGCAAGGACAGACCAAAACTGGAAGGGACGCATTGCCCACTTCTGAAAAAACGGGTTCACCCAACATCTGTTTAGAAAGGGGCTCTTGATTTGGGGGGGGTCTCTGGAGGTAAGGAGAGGGCCTGACCTTACCTGGCCATACTGGCCCTGCACAGCCCCAATGGCCTGCTGGATATTGAGGATGTCTCTGCCAGGCCCTGCCAGCAGGGCAGTGCCTGTGTCCAGAACAGCTGTGCAGCCACCTTGACAAGCCACCACTTCATCATTGATTGTGATCCTGGAAGATTAAGCAGAGAGACTTTCACAGTACCAACCTTTATCCAGCTCTCTCTCCCTGGGCCCTTCCCACCCCTGCCAGGACCTCAGGGAAGGAAAGAGGTCCAGACCCTTTTTATTTTCTTTTGAGCCTCTTCTTGGCACCCCCAAAACTTTCCAAACTCAGAGAAAAGACTGAACTATTTCCCCTCAGTTAGTGGCTAAGTTGAGAACAGCTCAAATTGCAAGGGTCCAAATAAAAACAAAACAATCCTTTTGCGTGCCCTTCCCTGAGCAGACTGAGGATTAACTAGTTGCCTGAGGATCCAGCTTCAAGTTTTCTCTGCCATTTACTTGAAACATGTCTCAGATGAATATCCAAACATTTGTACACTTGGCTTCTTGTGAACAAAATGGGCACATGAGCAGTCCCTGAAGCAGCTTAAGGATGCTCGAGAGGCTCAGACCAAAAGTCCATAACCTACACACTGAGGACAATACCAGCACCCACCTCCTCCAGGCTGCATGGGAACCACTGAGGCAGCCATGCAACCACACAGCACAGCGCCTCCCAGGCAGTAGGCAGTCAGTGAGGCCAGTGCAGGGTAACCACTTGCAAAGGATGCTGGCCTCACAGCTGGCTGACAGAACCAACCAATAATCCCGGAGGCACTGGGTAGAGTTCTTCTCGGCCCTGTGTTCTAACTCCTGAGCCCCCATATCCACACATCAGGGGTCAGCCTCTCGAGGGGGGGGCCCATGTGAGGTTCTGTTCACCCACCTGTCCACTGTGAACTGCCAATAACCCTGCACAGTCACAGGCACCCAGTGCAGTGAGCCTACGAAATAGGACTGATCGATGGCCCCCAGCGTGAGCATGCTCCCCTGGTCATTCCTGGAACCAAGAAAGGCCTTTCTGTGGCAGCAGACACCCTGCTGGTGAGGAGTGCCCAGTTCCCGCCCCCCAGGCAGATGAATGGAGACCCAAAGGCCTTCCACTGACTCCCACCCTTCCCACTTATGCTTTTCTCTTTTCCCGGTCACTTTCCTGCTGTTCCCCTGGGGCAGATAGAACTTTTCCTGTCTCCCTCTTCTCTTCTGTCCTCTCTGTGTGTCTCTGTATCTCTTTACCTCTTTTCTCTACACCCCCCCTCATTTCCCTTTCTATTAAAACTTCTCACTAAGCTCTGTCTGCCTGGCGTGTTTGTTCCTACTTCAGTCACCCTCACCTGCCATGGAATCTGCCAAGGTTCCCCTCACATTTTATCATAACCGCCCTTGCTAAAATCTATCTTACAGCTTGTCTTGATTGTGGATGTATATGACTACATCCTGACCTAACCTCTGCATATAGCATGCCTAGTAAATATGCATGGAGTAAATGAATGAATGCCTATCTACATGCATGATTGAATGAAAGGTACCACCTTACTCTTTGCCTGGGGTCCCCTCTCCTCAACTGTCCAGCCTCTTCTCCTGGGGGTGATCTCTTTCTCCTTTAAGAGCAGGAGGGCAAAATAGGAAGCACCAAAGCAGGCTCCCTGGGCTCCAGGCCTGACTCAGACACCAGTTCCTGACTATACATCCCTCTTTTTCTGCCCCTGATGGAAGGAGATGCCTGGACTCTATAGGATTGAGGATCTCAAAGACAATGACAAACGATGCCTGAGATCCTGTGTCTTTGGAAGAACATGCTAAAAGCCCTCATCTAGAGATGGGAACAGGCTTTGCTTTTGTTGTTGTTTGTAGTACCAAAGATTGAACCTGAGGCTCAGCACATGCTAAGCCAATCCTCTAAAACATCCCCAGCAAGGCTTTGCTTTTTTTCTTTTTAAGGTATAATGAAAGTCATCTTTGTCTTAGTAAACTCTAAGTGACTCCAGTCAGGTCACTGGACAAAAAGTAGGTGTGTCTGGAAACCTGGATAGAGATGGTTTGGATGCTGGTGGCTACCATGACAGGCAGTGTCTCCAAGGGGCAGACATTCACCTCAGCCAGCAGTCCTTACCAGGTATAAAGTCAAACCCTTTTTGGTGGGTGCAGTTCCTACCTGCTCATGTAAACGGAGAACAGGTCCTGGGCAACCAGGTGCCTATTCATCATGTTGTCAAATATGGGTACTGAATACTTGGAAGCAAGAGAAGGGTAGGACAGCCCCAGGATGCCATCGAATGGAGAGTAGATGAAGATTTCACCCGGCTCCTGAGTACTCAGGCCCACAGTCTGGTGGGGAACTACAATATCAGAGATCTGCAAAGTAGAAGCAAAAATTGTCATGATGACTTCCACCAGGGAGCTTTTGCAGCCAGAGACAGAGAAGTTCAGGAATGGAGCAGCCAGCCTGGGATCACAGGTCAGTGTTAGCATCCAGCCCTCGCTGGCCTTTCTTCCTTTTTATACATAATGCAGGGTTATTTTCAGCTTAAGAGACTGGAGTGGGCTGGGTCCGCCACAATTTCTGCTTGGCTGTGAAGGAATGGTCTGAGGAGGGAATGGGGAAGAGGAGACAGTGTTTAACGAAGACACAGGTTTCACATTGGGGACAATCCCAAAGGAAATGGAATGGTGATTGTCCCAGTACTGCCTGCAGAAGCAGCTGCACCTTTGCCTCGGGGTCCTTTCTCAGAGGCATCTTGGAAGCATAGACACTCACAAAGCAGGTGCTGTGTGGGTGGATGCTGTCACCTGCTGACCGAGCTTGAACAGTTTTTCCCTGGCTCTCAGTCCTGTATCTGATAAGTGGAATGATAGTGCCTGAATCTCAAGTCAGTGCCAGAGCTAAATAACTGCACACCTGCTGAGCATCCACTGTCTGTTTATTGAACAGTTATTGGCACCATGCTAAAGAAAGTTGTTCTTCATTTGCCCATCTTCCCAGAGGGTAGATGTGCCCATCAGCCTGCTCTGAGCCACACAAAGGGCTAGAGCAGGTCTCTTACCTCTGCTCTGTCCCATAAAATTAATCAACTTCCACCCAAGACAGCCAATGTGAGCTTTACAATCTGAAATCAAGCCTGCCATACAGACTACAACTGCCTTGTACATCTCAGTACAAGAGAAGGAAATCATCCCTTTTGGCCCCAGCTCCCACAACTTACCACGTGCCCCTTAGCTCACTTTGCCCCACAGGCTGGGCTCTGCCCCCCTCCTCAACTGCTCCAGCTCCTACCCATCCCAGGACTCTTGCACTTGCTCTTGTGCAGTGCTGACCCCAGATCATCACAAGCCTGGCTTCTGGAAGTAGATCACTTGGGTTCCAGGTTGCAGCAGGCCACCATGTCCACCAAATCTCCATCTTCTGATTCCCAAACACTCTCTTCCACACTCTCTTCCAGTTTTGTTTTCTTCTTAACGCTACTCAATGGTGTTCAAAGCCATGTGACTACTCTTCTGTGCATAGGCCATGCTCTCACAAGGCCACCTGAGTGTCTTTTGCTAGAAAGCATGAGGCAAGCAGGTCTGCCACCCTCTTGTCCACCACTGTGTCTTCCTTAGAGCAAGCATTCTTGGTGTGAATAAATGAACAGTGGCTAAGTGCTAAGGAATAATTCAGTTCTCTTTCTTTCAACCAACAAACTATTTGCCAAATGTAAGTCCCTGCCCCTGGAAAACCTTCTATCCAACAGGAGAGACCAACAATGAATTTTTTAAAGCAGCACTATAGAACAGGTAACACCGAGCCCTCGGGAGGAAAATAAATCATGGTGAGGTCATAGGTAGTGTGTGATTTTATAAGATGGTGGGAGACCTCTTTGAGAGAGTGACATTCTGCTGAGAAGCAAAGGCTAAGGACAGAGCAGGCCAGGGAGCTAGAGGTGACATGACCATAGACAGAGTAAACTGAGTGACACAGGCCAAGTCTGGCCAAGATGCAGAAATGAACACCAGCAACTGGGGGAAGCACTCAAGTGGAGCTCTGAGAACAGAAACAATCAACAATGGAGGAAGGGAACATCACACAAATGGCTATCAATGGGAATCCCTCTCAGAACCCTCACCCATTGAGCCATCTAGTGGACAGAACCCAAGGGATCCTCATTCCCACCAAATGCACAGACCATTGGAATCAGGCTATCCTGGGGGAGAAATGGGTACAGAAAAAGCTTGGGTGAGTCCAGGTCATTGCCACCTCACTTACTGTGACAGTGTCATAGCCCAGGAAGCCCTGCATTCTGCCAGTGCCATACTGGACAAACAGGGGCTTGCTCAGGTTCTGGAAGGTGAACGACTTGGATGGGTCAAAGCGGTGATGGTTTTCTGCAACAAAGACCCAGATTAGTGGATCCTTAGTGTCCTTTTTTGCCCTCAACATTCCCAAGCAGAGTGGAAACCCTCACTAGACCTTGTAAGAACAGGCCTATGTATTAGCCTTTCTCTCTGTGGAAAACAAGCAATCTAGTCTCTCTACAGCATGGTCCCATAGTTTAGTCAAGAAAACCCAGCCCACCCCACCCCCACTTCCAAGCCTGTATAATTCCAACACAAAAGAGAAGAAAACCGAGGTGTCTGGTTTCTATGCCCATTTTCTCTGTTTTCTGAGTAACTTCAGCCAAGACCCTTCTCTTCTCTATACCTCCATTTCCTCATGTGGGAGGCTGGAAAGGAAGGGACAAGAGGGGTAGGCAGGGTGGGAAGTCACTCACGGCAGACTCTGCTGCTACAGTAGACAGACGGCACCCAGAGTTCCGAAGAGCCTGTGTCAAATACCACCGTGAACTCCTGGGGTGGTGTCCCGATGTAGATCGTTCCAAAGTACTCACTCTAAGGACAGACAGCTCGGGGTCAGAGGCGTAGCCAGGAGTGGGGAACACTGGGGAGGAGTTGATGCTAGGCACAGAACTCCTGCAGGTCTTGTGTTTTCTACTCGGAGATGTGAGAAGAGGGGCATCAAGGAGGAGAAAAGAAAATGCCATCCCCACTACACAGGGGTGGGCTCCTCTTCTTCCACCACTTCTGCACTCCCGCCCCAAGCCCTACAGCAGTGCTAGAATCAGCTCAGAAGCACACCATGGACCAGAACTGAAGTTCTACCTGGGAAAGAGACCAGGTTACCCTACCAAGGCAGGGAGAAGGTAGCCACAGAGGTGGGGCACCTGCTGAGAGCAGAATCCCAAAAGCCCATCCAAGCTCCCCCACCAGTGCCCTTGAGGCTGGGATAGTACTGTGACCTAGATATGGAAATGAAAGCACAGGCACAAAAGTACTGGTTGTTTACTGCCAAGAGTGATGGGGAGGGGACTCCAGAAAGGAAAAAGACACACGACAGTATTCTTGCCTGGGTGGGAAGAGGAGAAAAACGCAACCCATGCCTTAGAAGCTGAAGACTGAGCACCTGCCATCACCAGATCTGATGACCACACACTAGAATGTGGTTCCCCTGATCCAGGGAAGCAGGCTATATGACTAAGGTCGTTTGAACTCAGACCCATCCCAGCAGGGCTTTTGGAGCCCTGAAGAACAGAGGGGCTGACTTCGTTGGATCTGCTGGCCCATGGTAGAGCTACTGATGTCAGGGCGGTGGCCTCCATGCCTCCATGCCTCCACAATTCCTGACAGAGAGAATGCTCTGGCAAGGCAGGAACCTAGGAACATGAGAATTCATCCCTGGGGAGGCCTACAGAAACACTCACATCTAGGTAGTTGGTCAGAGGTTCATTGGCCACCATCCCGGTGTTGGAGTCCTTCTCACTGAACTCCGACTGGTGTCTGCTCAGAAAGTCCTCCAGCAGTCCATGCTCCTTCAGGGTGTTCCTCAGAGATGTCCCTTTGTGCAGAGGGATCCTGAGGAGGTGGAATGAATTCACAGTATAAGGGAGACTGGGCTGCATGAGCCATCCCCCACCCTGTTGTTCTCAGCCCAGCCCTGGCCGACATTCCACAGGCAATGCCAATAATATTTCCAAATGAAAAAATCTTAACCCAAAGTAAAATAATAGATTCTATGTTGATTTACAGGTCACTGTCTAGTTTCATTAGATACAATCAATACTCTGATACGTCTCATTCCTTTTCTTTTCCAATGTGGTAGAGACTCACTACATTTGTTGTATGACTCACTAAATAGTATGTCTTTTTACTCACAGTTTGAAAGACACTAAGCACGCCATCAGTTACTCGGTCACCAAATACTCACTGTGACCTTACTGTGTGCCAAAGCACAGAGGACACATAGTGAAAAGGACACAGAAGGAGCCCTCCACACAGAGAGAATCATGTCTAACACTGGCACCTGCTCCTAGCACTGATACCACCCTTTGCCAACCCCTTTTCTTTTCTCTCTGATAGTGTTTTCACTAAAGTGGCTAAAAATTCTTTAGCGATTTCCTCAGAAAGAGCAGGGACATCAAAATTAAGGTTTGGGATAATGAAGTCAACTGGAAATGGAAAATAAAATAGACTTAAAGGGGAAACCACAGAAGAAAGAGTTCTAGACCTGGTTCTGCCATATTCCTTGGCAACCTGAAGACTGCCACAGCCCCCTGAGCTTCCATCAGGAGACTCCCTGAGTCCTCTGCACTTCCACTGGGAAGCTGTCAAAGCCCTCTGATCTTCACATTGGAGAGTCCAAGTGCCTTTATCTTCAGGTTATCCTATACAATAGGGTTAATCCTGCCTTTCCAACACTTTTTTATTCTTTATTTGACCATTTTCTTCCCTGTAGTAGAACTTTGTGCATCCCACAGTCCCTAAATCTTATGACAACCATGTTGCCCTCCTAGAGCTGATTGAAAGACACCTTGAGATTACAGAAGCAGCAGCTTCAGGAGCCTCTCTTTCCAGAGGGAAACCAGTTACAAACAGATGTAGCCACTACCTTATGCAGAGTCAGGAGGACAGCTCTGCCTGGAATTCACCCCCAGGGTCCTCAGCTCCAGCTCTGTCTCTTGTATAGCTGCCCAGAAACCTTAGCTCTGGAAAAACTTCATTTTCAAGACATGCCCCCTCCTAGAAAGCCCTCACCGGACAAAGACACTCAGTCAACCTCTTTTCAGGGATCCAATCCAGAAGATATTCAGTCATCTCCATGTTTGGGCCTTGACAGAACAAACAAGAGCACCTGGGTTGGGGGTGGGGGCAGCAGGAGTGCAAGCCCAGCCAGGCTGAGCCCTGGTTCCTCCATTACTAGCCACATGGTAATGGACATTTCAGGAACTCTCCCTGAACAATGGTCTCATCTATAAAATGCAAGTCACCCAATCCATGGCAGTATAAGTGATGTCCTAGTTTGAAGGAAAACTTACAGACCTCTCTACAGGAGCCCTTACTCCAAGAAATCTATTTTAATGAATGCATACATAGCTCCCATGGTATATCCAGCACTATTCAAAGCATTTTATAATATTAACCCATGCAGTCTTATAACAGCCCTAAAAGATGAGCAAGATGACCTTAATGTCATAGCAGATGAAGAACTAAGGCACAGACTATCCAAAGGGTGAGAGAGCTGAGGGCCAAATTCCAAGTAGCTTGGTTCTAGAAACCATGCCTTCCTTTCCCCAGGCTTCCTGTCTGGCTCCCTGTCCTAAGGATCACACTGAATGCACAAAGACAAGAGTGACAGAAGTCCCTCTGGAGTCTCCCCAAGGGAACCAAGGTCTGGAAGAGCAGCCATCCACCTGCCCACAGAGCCTCCATGAGATGTCTTCCCCAGGGCCCAACATTCACCTGGTGGCCACATGGCTCTGAGAGACAGCAAAGACAGCCAGGAGCAGCACAAAGCACCTCATTCTGGATATCAGGCAAGCACCACTCTAGCCAGTGCCCATCTTTGCAGTCTTTATAGAGTGGGGCTCCTTCTGGCTGGATGCCCAGACTTCAGAGGCACCCCCAACTTCAGACTATTCTACAAACATAGTGAGATAGCACCCAGACCAGCCAAGACCCACATTGATAAGAGCTACAAATTCTATCATTTTAAAGACTTCAAAGTTGAAGGGTACATAGGCCTTCAAGCTGGGAAAAGTCAACACAGGCCCCTCTACACCCAGTTCCCCTCTAGACCAGATCCCTGAGCTAACACAGGTGGGGCTGTTACCAGGAACTATTTCATGTTCTGGCCTTCTGCTCTGTGAGCAGCCAGGCCCCAAAGATCCCCTCCTTTGCCCCTCCCTAGGCCAGACTTCTGATTCCCATTTCTCCCAGGCCAGTTTTCCAGAAGGGGCTTGGTCTAGTCTCAAGGTGGCATCTAAGACCAAGAATGCTTGTCTAATCTATCACCCCAGTGGAGGAAGCTCAATGTTGGAGCTCCAAGTTCCCACAGAGAGCAATGTCTAAAAGAGAAGGCTCGATCATCCCCAGAGACACAGTGTTGAAAGAAAGGGATGCTGAGAAAGTGAGTGACAAATGCCTGCTCACTGGAACCATGGGGAAGACAGAGTGGAGCAGCAGACACATGCCCCACAGGAAGGGATAGGAGAAATATGGCAGCCACGTACAAGAGGAGCTCAGGGAATGTTTGAGTGAGCACATGAATGAATGAGTGGCATTGCCACTGCCCTGATAAGCAACAGAAAGTAGCTGGTGATGTCTGTGTGACATGCAGCAGATGAGGAGACAGAAGTTCAGAGAGTCATGTAAAAAGAGCTTGGCCTCATCTGAAATGTCCTGAATTAACATCTCCACACTCCACAGCAAGACTAATTCTGCTTCTAGGTCTTTCTTCCCAACCTCCAGCCACCCCTTGAGACAGTCACAGTATGTGCAGTGGGTCAAACCTGCAATACTAAGACCCCCCCCTGAGATTAGGTTAGCACCTTCAGAAACGATGGAGGGAGGCAGGCCTGACTGTGGCTCCATGTTGCCAATGGCCTAGCCTGACCCAGTGGCAACCTCTCAAGGACAATGACTACTGGTGTTAGGTGTAATCACCTCTCCCACTGGAAGGTGACCACAAAGGCAAGAATCAAAGACCCCTTGGTGCTATTTGCCTTTTATTCGTTCACACAGTTGGCAACCATCTGAGAACATTCAAGTGCATGCTGGAACACTGCCCCACAGAACACGATGCTAAGAGAGGCTATCTGCAGGAACAAGCCACAATCTAGAAAAAGCTTTTAAGAAAGACCATGATAAGAATCGAACACTCACTAACTGGCACCACACAAAGACATATCACCTTGGTCTAGACGACTTGTGTCTGGGGACTCACTCACAAAAGTGGCTGAAACATCTCAGAAGCCAAGGGCACCCCTTCCTCAGTACTCAGATTCCAGCACTGCCAAAGCCAACTGAGGTCAATTTCTTAAACATCTTCTATGTACCTGCACTAGACTGAAGCAGACAGAGCAATTGTCATCTCAGCCCCATAGGGAGTCCACAGTCAGGTGAGCACAAGTGGGAATAATAGAGAAAATTCAAAGGAAACACACACACACAAACACACACACACACACACACACACACACACACACACACACATTGCAAGGTGGCAGTGAAAGTGTGGGTTCTAGAAAAAGACTGTGGCCATTGTCGCCCTGAATCCAGGGCCAGCTACACAGTGGTATGACTATGGGCGAATTTCCCTACCCTTCCATGACTCAGTTTCTTCTTCTAAAGGTAGAGACAATGATACTGATAGGGTCATGTGGTATCAGGTACTAACATCCCTTATACCACGGAAACAAAAATTTTCAACAAAACATTTGCAATCTGAATTAAGAGCCCATAGAGAAGACCATACACCATGATCAAGTTGGTTTCATTCCAGGGGTGCAAGATTGGTCCAACATACATAATGAATGCAGTACAACACATGACTAGGCTTAAGGACAGAAATCACATAATCATCTCAACAGATACAGAAAAGGGCTTGGGCAGAGAGCAACATCCTTTCATGATGAAGGTCCTGAAGAAACTCAGAATATTAGGAACACATCTCAACATAAGAAAGGCTATGTATGGCAAACCTAGCCAGTACTGTCAAGTGAAGAGGATCTGAAAGCACTTGTTCTAAAAATCAGCAAAGAAACAAGTGTGCTGTGGTGGTTTGAATAAGAATACCTACTATAGGCTCACAGTCATCAGGGAGTGGTGCTATTCAAAAAGGATTAGAAGGATTAGGAGGTGTGGCCTTGTTGGAGGAAGTGTGTCATTAGAGGTGGGCTTTGAGATTTTCAGAAGCCCAGGCCAGGTCAGTTTCTCTCTCCTTTCTCTCTGCCTGCAGATCAGGATATAGATCTCTACTATATCAGCCCCATGCTTGCCATGATGACAATGGACTTAACCTTTGGAACTGTAAGTGAGCCCCCAATTAAATGTTTTCTTTTATAAGGTTGTCTTGGTTATGATGTCTCTTCACAGCAACAGAACAGTGACTAAGATGGGTGCCCACTCCCCTCCCCTACCCCTTGTTTAATATAGTACTGGAAGTCTTAGCTGGAGCAATAACACAAGAGAAAGAACTAAAATGGATACAAACAGGAAAAGAAGTCAAATGTTTTGTATTTGCAGACGACACGATCTCTTCTTAAAATACTGTGAAGACTCCACCACCCGCTTAGACCTGACAAGCACTTCTAGTAAAATAACTGGACATAAGGTTTGTAAGACCCCCGGAAAGCTCAAGCCTCCAGGATCTCAGCCCAGGACCTCGGCCACCCCAATCACCAGGCGGAGGTGAAAGCTTGATGCAAACAGCATGAGGCTTTATTATAGTTGTTAAACGAGCTAACCCCATGTTAGCTCGGGTCTTTCATCCACCTGCCATGGCAGATGGCTAGCAAAGACAGCTCGAAGTGGCTGCATAGAGATCTTGTAGGGCAGGGGAAGGGGAGTGTCTAGGG